AGAGGGAGAGATAGAACATCGATCAGCTGCCTCTTACATGCCCCCAACCCAGGAATGCGCCCTGATCAGAAATTTAGTGACCTCTTGGTACATGGGATGACTCTCAACAAACTGAGCCACACCATCCAGGTATAGTCTACATATTTAAATCCAAGAGTCACTGCTTGTAAATAATGTCTAATAAAGGATTAGCACATAATCACACAGCATTGCACCTAGTAATTGGTTCTGTTGTCGAGTGATATGACTTTCTGCAGTAGTTTTAATGCATGCTGGCTGATGTTCTGATGTGTGCTAAGCCATGTCCCAGCTGTGTGCATTTATTTACTCACAGTGACTGGTAAATACACACATTTTTAAATTATAGTAATAGATATAGAAAACTTTTCTATGAAATTAAACTTTTTATACATACTTAATTTTAATTACATAAGTGCCCATATAAGTAAAAACAGGTAAAGTAACTAATTTGTCAGTTTTTTAACATACACATTCAGAAAACCTACTTTATTATATAACGCACTTTTAGTTTTAATGGACACCCCTTCACCTGAATTAGTCTGTTATATCGAGGTTTTACAGTGTATACATATATCAAACCATTCAATTCTACATTAAAACTAATACAATGTTATACATCAATTATATTTTAATAAATAATAAGTAGGAACATTCTAATTTATGAACACTAAATTTATTTATTATTTTCAGCAATTTTCAACTGGTGTGCCACAAGAATTTTTAGAACATGCAACACTTGACTATTTAATAAGGAACACTGACCTCTTTTCCCTTAGATTGTCAAATAACAAAATGGCAATAGCCAACAAAACAATAGCCATCTGTTGTAAATGCTATCTTTTTTTTTTCTTTTTATCTTCATTTTTTCCCCATTGACCCCCTCCTCCCCATTTCCACCCCCTCCACACCCACCACACTATTGTCGGTGTCCATTGGTTATGCATATATGCATAAAAGTTTTTTGGTATATCTCATCCCACCTATGCTAACCCCCTTCCCTTTGAGCTTCATTAGTCTAACAACCAATTTGTACTTCTTAATTACTTCATCTTTTTCACTCATCTCCCCAGCCCCCACCCATCTGGCAAGCAACAAAAAGTTCCCTGTATCTATGAGTCTGTTTCTGTTCTGCTTCCTCATTTTGTTTGTAGATTCAATTGTTGGTAGATATGTATTAATTGCCATTTTATTGGTCATATTTTTGTTCTTCTTCACCTTCAAGAAGACACTTCAACATTTCATATAATACTGGTTTGATGGTGATGAATTCTTTTAGCTTTTTCTTGAGAGGGAAACTCTTGATATGTCCATTGATTCTAAATGATAGCTTTGCAGGATAAAGTAATCTTGGTTGTAGGTCATTGCTTTTCATCACCTTGAATATCTCTTGCCACTTCTTTCTGTCCTGCAAAGTATCTTTTGAGAAATCAACTGACAGTCTTATGGGAGCTTCTTTGTAGGTAACAGAATGCTTTTCTCTCGCTGCTTTTAAGATTCTCTCTTTGTATTTAATCTTTGGCATTTTGATGATGATGTGTCTTGGTGTGGACCTCCTTGGGTTCAACTTGTTTGGGACTCTCTGTGCTTCCTGGACTTGTATGTCTGTTTCCTTCACCAAGTTAGGGAAGTTTTCTGTCATTATTGTTTCAAAAAATTTTTTTTAATGTCTTGCTCTCTCTATTATTTTTTAGGCACCCCTATGATGCGGATGTTGGCATGCTTGAAGTCATCCCAGAGGCTCCTTACACTATCCTCTTTTTTTTTTTTTTTTCTCTTTTTGCTCTTCTGGTTGGGTATTTTCTGCTTCCTTATATTCCAAATCGATGGTTTGCTTTTTGACTTTACCTATTCTACTATTGATTCTCTGTAAATTATTCTTCATTTCAGTTAGTGCATCCTTAATTTCTGACTGGCCCTTTTTTATGTTGTTGATGTTCTCATTAAGTTTCTTGGAGGTCTCACTAAGTTCCTTGAAGGTCTCCCTGAGTCTCTTGGATGTCTCACCAAGTTCCCTGAGCAACCTTATAACCTGTGTTTAGAACTCTGCATCTGTTAGATTGCTTATCTACATTCTGTTTAGTTCTTTTCCTGGAGTTTTGTTCTTTTCTTTCATTTGGGACATGTTTGTTTGTCTACTCATTTTGGCTGCTTCCCTGTGATTGTTTCCATGTATTAGGCAGAGTTGTTATGCCTCCTAGGCTTTGTAGGGTTGCCTTCTGATGTAGGTGTCCTGTAGGATTCAGTGGCACAGTCTCCCTGATTACACCAGCTGGGCCCTTGTGGTGCACCCCTAGTGTGGACTGTACACCCTTATGTTGTAATTGAGTCTTGATTGCTGCTGGCATGTCAATGGGAGAGGTTTACTCAGGCTAATCAGCTGCAAGGACTTGCTGTGTCTAATAGCCACTGGCCTCTGACTACCTTGGAAGACCAGCTGTGTAAGAGCACACCACACAGAGCAAGACTTACTTCAGCAGGGCTCTGGTACCCATTGAGTCCACTCACTGAGTGTGTCACTTGTGGAGGGAGTTGGGTTGGGTGGTGGTGTCTCAATGTGGTCTTAAGCTGTCCACCAGGTGTGCTGGCTCTGTGGCAAGGTCAGCCACTGCCTGTGCTCTATCCAGGGCCATCCAGCATAAGCTAAAGAGTGATCTGCAGATGGCTACTTCTTGTGCTTGGCTTGGAGGTGTCCAGGAAAAACCAAGTTGTGAACCAAGGCTGGCTGCTTCTAGTGCTAGGCCTGGGGTCACTTAACAAGAGGTATGGGGCTTGCTGAGACCAAATGCTGCTTGTTTGAGAGATTTTAGGAAACTCTGAAGCAAGATCCAAGACAAGCTAGTCCTATGGTAAAGCTTTTAGAAACATCTTGGGTGGACCCAAAAGTTGGGTGGGGCAGGGCCTCGGGGAATCACCAGGGTGGACCAACAGTGTGAGCCAAGTTGCTGGAGTCCCAGATATGGCAGCAATCTGCCTGCCCTGTGGTGAAGGGCTCACCAAAGGAACAACAGCCACCACCAGCACATCTATCCAGGGGAAACCTGCCCCTCCAGCCCTCATCCAGAGGCCAAACATCTCAGTTCTTCTCTGTTCTCTGGTGTCCCTCAAGCTGCCTCCCCTCAGAGCTCAGAGGGAGTGAGTCTGAGTAAGTCCATGCACGGGCCCTTTAAGAGGAGCTCTCTGGGGTTTCCGCAGCTGTAGCCTCCCTCTACCTCAGTTCCCACTGGTTTTTACAGCCAGACATTATGGGGACTTCTCTTTCTGGCACCAGGACCCTGAGCTGGGTGCCTGGTGTGGGATGGAGACCCCTCACTCACTCCCCTTTTCAGCCAAGGTCTCTCCTTATTTTTATCCACTACATGTAGGTGTGGGACCAGCCCATCTGCTCCTCCACCCCTCCTACCAGTCTCGATGTGGTAGCTTCTTTAATTTCATAATTGTAGGACTTCCATTCAGCTCGATTTCAGGTGGTCCTGAATGATGGTTGCATTGTAGTTTCGTTGTGATTTTGATGTGGTTGTGGGAGGAAGCGATACCACGTTTACCTATGCTGCCATCTTAACCAGAAGTCCATGAATGCTATCTTGAACCATAAGTATATGTCATTAGTTGCATTTTATTGGTCATGTCACACAATAAGGTTGCATCTTATTATTTAATTCATAGACCAGATATGCACCTCTTCTTTAAAAAGTCACTTTGGAGCAAAATGGCTAATTAATTACTATTATTTTTTTTTTATAAATCAATCAAAATTATACCTATTTTTTTCAGATGAGCAAAAATATTTTTTTGTTGTGCCACAGAATTTCTAGTAATTAGTTTATGTGTGCCATGTAATGCAAAGGTTGGAAACCACTGATTTTAGATCTTTCATTTTCCTGAGCAATGTATTGTAACTTTCAGTACAAGCCTTCTTCCTCTGTTAAATTTATTACTATTTCATTCTTTGCAATTTTTTGCAAATAAAATTATTTTTCTAATTTGGTTTTTGGTTTATTCAGTTCTCATATATAGAAGTAAAACTGAGTTTTGTTTTATGTGCACAGCAATACAATTGTAAGCAGTCATCTTTTAACTAGTTAACTGAAGAAAAGAGCAAAAAATGTGTAGTGTAATTTATATTTATTGATATAATTACCTACAAAGTGTTTTTATTTATTTATTTATTTTTATCCTCACCCGAGGACATTTTTCCATTTTTTGTTCAGATAGAGCGGGAGGGAGAGAGAGGAAGAAAGAGAGAGAGAAACATCGATGTGAAGGGACACATCGAGTGGCTGCCACCCGCACGACCAATCAGGGCCGGGGACAAACTGCAACCGAGGTACGTGCCCTTAGCGGGAACCGAACCCGGGTCTCTCTGTACCGCAGGCCGACGCTCCAACCTCTGAGCCAAACCGGCCAGGGCTACAAAGTGTTTTTAATATCTTCATGTAGATTTGAGTTACCATCTGGTGTCCTTTTGTTTTACCCTGAAATAGTACCTTTAGTTGTTCTTTAAGACACATTTGCTAATATAACAAAATTTCTTAGTTTCTTTTCACCTAGGAATGTCTTTGTTTCACCTTTATTTTTAATAATAGTTTATCTGAGTATAAAATTCTTGGTTGTGAATTTTTGCTTTCAGCACTTTAAATATGCCATTCCACTGCCTTCTGTTCTTCATTGTTTGTGATGATATGTCAGATACTAATCTTTGTAATAGTTTTATTGAGATATAATTCACATAGCATACAATTTAGTCATTTAACGTGTGTAATTCAGTGAATTCTGGTACATTTGCAGAGTTGTGCTTTCATCACCACACTAACTTAAGAACATTTTGAAAAAACAAAAAAAACCTCCAACATCCTTAAACATCACTTATATGTCCAATTTTTAAAAAATTTTATTGCTATTGGCAACTGACTCACTATGCATTAAAAATGGTTATAAAAGCAATCCATATTTTAGCTAACATATTTTCTAAATATTTCTAGGCAGAACTTCTGAAGGCTTTCCATCCCATGTGACTGAACCTTCAAAAGCCCTTCAGAGAAGATCTAGGGCTCAGTCAAGCATTTATAAAACCATCAATTTTCCTTTACTGTATAGAAAATCTTCAGGTAATTATTAATATTATTAGTGTAAAATGTAATTTTATAAAATAATAAAGCTTTAATTATGAAAACAGATTGTACTAGCCATAATCATATCATATGTTTAGCAAAACAGAAATGAAAATAAATGATGAATGAGCTCATTTAACATATATCTATTCTTAGTGAATGATTAATGTCTCTGGCATGGCTCTTCCTTCCCCACTACCACTAATTTGGAACTCCATTTTTCCCCTCAACATTGCTTTCTTGCACTATGATAGATCCTGCAGATGACTGAAGTAAACACATCTTATAATCCTCTTCCTTATATGTTCCTCTTTTGTCCAATCCAAGATAGGATCGGCAATAGAAAGGCTTAACATAAGGATTGGTGGAAAGAAAAATAAACATATGTTCATTTTCCCCTTTACCTTCATTATTATCTCCTCAGCCGTCTAATTCATTAATATATAAAAACTAATGTACAGCCCAGCCGGTGTGGCTCAGTGGTTGAGCGTCAACCCATGCACCAAGAGGTCACCAGTTCAATTTCCTTTTAGGGCACATGCCCAGGTTGTGGGCCTGATCCTCAGTGGGGGGCATGCAGGAAGCAGCCAATTGATGTTCTCTCTTATCAGTGTTTTATATATATATCTCTCTCTGTCAAGATCAATAAAGAAAAAAATTAAAACAAAACAAAACAAAAAAAACTACAGACCCTATTTATTATTCATTGCTCCAGAGGCATTATATAAACATTACCCTAGTACATTGTCTATAGATACTGAGTTTGAACTTTTAAAAAATTGTATATGATTTAAGACTATACTTTCAGGGATCATTTGTATAGTTTGTTAAATTGTATGTGATTTTTCTTTGATCTATTATGGTCTCTAAAACCCAAAATAATTATATACGCTATCAATACTTTTGCCAGTTTTTTATTCTAACCCTGCTTCTTTATCTCTTACTATCATGTCTATTGGCTACATTTTACCATTCTTTGGTTATACAAGTTTGGGCACAGATAAGTTTATAGTTGTGAATATGCAAAATACAGTTTATTCTCATATTATTATTTATTAATTATTGTATTATTTTCCATACAAATAACTGTAAAACTGCTTTTGCCCTGTCCTGTATAATTCAGAGATAAATTAAATTTGACTGTTAACTGAAGTAAGATATATTAAACAAACCTGAAAAATTAAAAATTAATTACTCAAATAACCCATACTCTTCTTCCTTCTAACTGCCAGACCATGAGATCAGATTCTTTCAGCATATTTTAGAAAAATATAATTGATTTTAGATTCACCAACCAGTTTATATCACTTACAATACTGCTTTCTATTTATGTAGCTCCTAGTTTTACCTATAATTTTGGTACTCTTTTAAACCTTCTCTATGAAAGATATATTAATTATAAGTAATAATATTGCCTAAAGAAACAACAAATAGGAAGAGAGTAAGAACTAATATAATCCACTATCTAAATTTTTGCTCCATAATTAGATAACAATAATGGCCTACTTTGTGGATTGAAAGAAAATGATGCTACATAAATGTTTCTATTTTTCACCTAAGACTTTTAATCTAAAAATAATGGCAGATAAACATTTTTACTTTATAATTTATTTATTCATTTTCAATCCTCATAAGGATATTTTTCTATTTATTATCAAATAGAGTGGGAGGGAGGGAGAGAGAGAAACATCCGTGTGAGAGAGACACAACTGGTTGCCTCCTGCATGACTACACCAGCTTCCCAACTGAGGTACCTGCCCTTGACCGGAATTGAACCTGCATCTCATTGGTCCATGGACCAACACTTTAACACTGAGCCAAACCAGCCAGAGTGGTAGATAAACATTTTTGAATAAACACCTGCCTTAAAAATGGTAAAGTTGGATGTTCTATTGTTTGCAAGACATGCATTATGGAAATTCAGCACATCAAAGTACACTTTGCACATTAACTTTGAAAAAGTACCATTAAATGCCCATATTCTGCTTTTTGTAGTGTATTTTTCTCTAAATAAGAGTGTTCAAACTACTTTTATTATTGCATAGTTTTGTTTTTAACAATGCTCAAAATGTGTATTTTTATAATAGCATTTCTAAGTATTACTCCTTCCATTGTAGCACTAGATTTTTTACTATGAGAATATAAACTTCTTTTAAAATAAGTATATGCTGTTGCATATAGAGATTAAATTTTTATCTGATAATTTATTTATTTGATTGTTAAAGTATTTTAATGTCTGACTATAAAAAAGCTCTTTATCTGACATTTTATTTACAGCATTTTTTTTTCTTGATTTGCATTCTTACTGGTTATGTTCATAAACATCAAATATCCAGCAATGAAACATCAGAGAGAAAATGTTTGTGTTAGTAAAGCTGCTTTATATAAATTATTAGAAACAATATAAGGAAGTTGTGGTTTATGACTGGATTAAAATTTATTTTTAACTTTTTAAAAGTTGAACTCAGTTTATTCTTAGGATAATTTAATATTTTTATTTTTTAGGGAATCCAAAAAATGCAGTCTTAAACAAAAAACAGGTAGAAATGACAAATACTTTGCCTGCTGTGAAATCTAAAGCAAGAAAATCTATTTATAAAGGTAAATACCTGCAATACAAAGATATATGAAATATAACATTATACTATGTTTTCATTGTCTCTATTTACCAATCACCTCAAACCTATGGGCCCCTTCCTCAGACAGCTGATCTTATGGGCCAAGTGTATTTTTCTTCTAACGTGTATGTGTATGTATGTATGTGTGGGTGTGTATGTGAGTGAGAAAGAGAGAGAGGGAGGGAGAGAGAGAGAGAGAGTGTTTTGGTTTTATAATGATAGAATCATATGCATGGATCCTTCTCACCTCTGATCCAGGTATATAGATATAGATTTCTTTTATCTTTCACACCTTTAAATTGCTGCATAATATTTTATAATGTGAATGTGCTAGTCAACCATTTCTCTATTAAATAATATTTATATCTTTATCAAATTGTTATTTATTACTATAAGCAATGGTGCAATAAATATCACTGTGCATATATTTTGCATATATTTTTATATTGTGGTAATTGCATTTCTATAGAGCATGCAAACTGAGATTGCTGTATTAAAGGGTATCTATGTCTTTATTTTAATATATATTGACAAATTACTTTCAAATGACTTTAGTAATAATTCTCCTAGCAAACTCATGAACGGTTTGTTTCCCAGCATTTTAAACAGCCCTAGAGTTTTTATAGATTGGTAAACAATATTGTTAGGTGTCAATTCTACCCAGAGTGCTCTACAGATTTAGTGCAATCTCTATCAAAATCTCGCCTGGCTGGTGTGGCTCAGTGGTTGAGCATTGACCTGTGCACCAAGAGGTTGCCAGTTCAATTTCCAGTCAGGGCACATGCCCAGGTTGTGGGCCAAATCCCCAGTGGGGGGCATGCAGGAGGCAGCCAATCAATGTTCTCTCTCGTCGATGTTTCTATCTCTCTCTCCCTTCCTCTCTCGCTAAAAAAAATCAATAAAGAAAAAAAAAATTTAATCTCAATGATGTTTTTGAAGAAAGAGAAATATCCATGCTAAATTCATATAGAATCTTAAGGGCTCCTGCACAGTCAAAATCATCTTGAAAAAGAACAAAGTTGGAGGACTCACACTTCATAATTTCAAAGCTTACTACAAAGCTACAATAATCAAAGCACTGTGGTACTGACATAAAGACAGACACATAGACCAGTGAAACAGAATAGAGAACCCAAAAATAAACCCTCATATATATGGTGAAATAATTTTTTACAAGACTGCCAACACTATTCAATGGGAAAAGAATTGTTACCACATATTGTGCTGAGAACAATAGATATCAACAAGCAACAGGGTGAAAGAACCCTTATCTTACACCATATGCAAAAATTCGCTTAAAATAGATTATAGACATTAAAGTAAGTGCTGAGCTATAAAACTCTTAGAAGAAAACATAGAGAGAAATTTGTATGCCATTAGATTTAGCAATGTTTCTTGGTTGTGACATCAAAGGCACAAAAAAAGAAAAAATAGATTTAATCAAAATTAAAAATTGTTCAACAAAGGACAATACTAATAAAGTAAAAAGCAAACCACAGAATGGGAGAAAATATTTACAAATCACATACCTGATTGGTTAATATCCAGAATATAGAGAGAACTTCTAAAACTGAACAATGAAAACAAAATACCTGATTAAAAAATGAGCAAAGTACTTAAGTAGACATTTCTCCAAGAAGATATACAAATAGTCAGAGCCACATAAAAATATGGTAAACAGCACTATTCATTAAGGAAATACAAATAAAAACCACAACAAGATACCAATTCACATCCAACAGTATAGCTATTACAAGAAAGAAAGAAAGAAAGAAAGAAAGAAAGAAAGAAAGAAAGAAAGAAAGAAAGAAAGAGAAAGAAGAAAGAAAGAAAGAAAGAAAGAAAGAAAGAAAGAAAGAAAGAAAGAAAGAAAGAAAGAGAAAGAGAAAGAGAGAAGAAAGAAAGAAAGAAAGAAAGAAAGAAAGAAAGAAAGAAAGAAAGAAAGAAAGAAAGAAAGAAAGAGAAAGAAAGAAAGAAAGAAAGAAAGAAAGAAAGAAAGAAAGAAAGAAAGAAAGAAAGAAGAAAGAAGAAAGAAAAGAGAGGAAAGGAAAAAGAAAGAAAAAAAAATAAGTGTTGACTAAATTAAAGATGTGAAGAAATTAGAACTCTTGTGTGCTACTGGTAGGGGTGTGAAATGATGCAATTGCAATGAAAAACTATATGGTGATTCCTCCAAATACTAAAAATAGCATTACCATATGATTCAGATATTCCACTCCAGATATATACTCAAAATAATGAAAAGCAGGGACACGAACAGATATTTGTATAGCCATGTTTATAGGAAAAGTATTTATGTCAGCCAAAAGATAAAAGCAATTCAAGTGTTCAATAGTGCTAAATGGATTTTTAAGCTACTGTGAAGAAATCAGTCTCATTATTTGTTTTGGTCTGTTAAGGTTTTTCATTTCTTCATGATTCAGTTTTGTTAGGTTGTATGTTTCTAGGAATTCATTCATTTCATCTAATTTATCTAATCTGTTGGTATATAATTGTTGATAGCCTTATTATCCTTTGTATTTCTGTGGTATCAGTATTGTCTTTCCTTTCATTTATGATCTTATTAACTTGGGTCATCTATGTTTTTCTTAGTCTACCTAAATGTTGATAAATTTTGTGTGTTTTTTTTTCCCAAAAACAACCAAGTCTTGGTTTTACTGATCTTTTCTATTGTTTTACTAGTTTTTTGTTTGTTTGTTTGTTTGTTTATTTGTTTGTTTGAATTGCATTCTTATTTCTAGTATTAACTTCCTTCTGCTAACTGTAGGCTTAATTTGTTCTTTCTTTTCTGGTTACTTGAGGTGTAAAGTTAAGTTGTTTATTTGAGATCTTGTTTTTCAATCTAGTCATTTGTTGCTTTAACCAAGACTGCTTTTGCTGCATCCCATAAATTTTGGTATGTTATGTTTCCATTTTTGTTTACTACCAGATTTTTAAAATTTCCCTTTGATTTTTTTTTCTTTGACCCATTGGTGGTTCAGTAGTGTGTTCTTTAATTTCCACATATTTGTGACCTTCCCACCTTTTCTCCTGATTTTTGTTTCATGCAATTGTGGTCAGAAAAAAAAAATACTTGGTATAATTTTCATCTTAAATTCTTAAGACTTGTTTTGTGACCTAATATATTCTTTAATTTGTAGAATGTTCCATATGCACTTGAGAATAATGGTGGGGGGTTTTGGTGCTTTTTTCCTGTTACATAGAGTTCTATGTGTATGTCTGTTAAGTCTACATGGTCTGAAGTGTAGTTCAAGTCCATTATTTACTAATTTATTTTCTTTCTGAATAATCCATCTATTGGGAGTGGGTTATTGAAGTCCTCCAGTATTATTGAATTGCTGCCTATTTTTACCTCCATATTTGTTAATAACTCTTTAGTATATTTGGGTACTCCAATATTGGGTATGTATATATTTACAGTTGTTATATTCTCTTAATAAATTGACGCCTTTATCATTATATGATTACTTTATTTCTCTTGACCATTTTTGTCTAAAAGTCTATTTTGTCTGATGTAAGTATAGCTGCTCTTGCTCTCTTTTGGATTTTATTTATATTAATATCTTTTTCCATTTCTTCACCTTTATCCTATGAATGTTCTGAAAGTTTAAGTGAGTCTCTTGTAGTCAGAGTCTTGTTTTTTGTTTTTAATTTTTTCAACCACTGTATATCTTTTTTTTTTTTTTTTTTTTTAATCCTCACCCAAGGACATTTTTCCATTTTTTGTTCAGATAGAGTGGGAAGGAGAGAGAGGAAGAGAGGGAGAGAGAAACATCAATGTGAAAGGGACACATCAAGTGGTTGCCACCTGCATGACCCAACCAGGGCCGGGGACAAACTGCAACCGAGTTACATGCCCTTAGCGGGAACCAAACCCGGGTCTCTCCGTAACACAGGCTAACGCACTAACTGCTGAGCCAAACCGGCCAGGGCCGCTGTATGTCTTTTAATTGGTAAATTTAAGCCATTTACATATTTAGAATAATTATTGGTAGGTAAGGACTTACTATCACTATTTTGTTCATTACCTTCTGAATATTTTATAGTACCTTTTTCCCTCTCTTCCTGTACTTCTTTGAGCACTTATTTTGTGTAGTGGCAGCTTTCATCATTTTCTTTTTATCACTTGTGTATTTATTATTGTTTTTTGCTTTGTGACTACCATAAGGCTTTTATAATACATTTGATAGTTGTAACAGCCTAATTCAAACTGAAACTTCAATTCCATAAAAACATTTGCTTGACCCCCCCCCCCAATTTTACGTTGTTGAATTTACATCATTTCTATCCTATCCATTAACAAAATATTGTGGCTATAGTTATTTTAAATATTTTTGCTTTTTAACTTATATACTAGAGTTCAATTTCAGTGTTAGAGTATTTTGAATTTTACTATACATATATCTTATCAGTAGATTTTATTCTTTGTTGTTGTTGTTGTTGTTTATGTTGCTAATTAGCATCCACTTGTTTCAGCTTGAAGTGTTTCTTGTAAAGCAGTTCCAGTGGTGACAAATTCCCTCATTTGAAGGTGGCTGTGAGATCACTGGCTGGCGGGGGTGCAGCGTCTCTGGTTTTTGGGAGGACACAGCAGTACGTTTTCCATATGGTTCCATCAGCTGAGGCCAATGTTGGGGAACACTGTGGGAGTCTCCTGTGTCCAAGATTGCTAAGGTCGGTTAGGTGGCAGTGGCAACTAAAGCTATTTGGTTCCTTGGAGGTGAACATTGCTATGGCCCTCTGATTCTCCCTTATTGCCCATAGGAGGAAGTTCGAGCTAAGCAAGTATTCCTGGTGCCAGGTCTGTTGTCATAGCACTCATTAACAGAGCCAGTCCCTGGATCAGGTGCACACACAACTACCACAGTGCTTGGGTCCTGGGCCACAGGTACACTTGCTGTGGCAGTGAGACTAGTGCCTGAGGTGTGGGCAATGCAGATGTCCTGTGGAACTGAGGTCTAGGTTTCTTGAGTTTTCTGCCAA